TAGGGGTGGTGAAGCCTGGAGAGACCCTCACCCTGACCTGCGCCGTGACTCGTGATTCAGACAAGATCATCTCCAGTGGCTGTTGCTATTGGACCTGGATCCAGCAGAGCCCTGGCAAAGGCCTAGAGTGGATGGGGTATATAGTTAAAAGTGGAAGCACAAGCTATGCCCCATCCCTGCAAAGCAGGATCTCCCTCACAGTGGATTCCTCCAGGAACCAGTTCTCCCTGCATCTGCGCTCCTTGACAGCCGCCGATACGGCTAACAAAATGTGCCAGGGACACAGTAATACAGAGCAGAGCAGGGCTGTGCAAAAAGGGGAAACAGGCAGTGAACACCATAGAGGGAGTGATGCAACTCAGAAACAAGCCCTCACTGACAGAAACCTGTATAAATGGAGCGAAAATTGTAAGAGATGTATGAGGAGGTAGGAGGGGAGGAGGAAACACGTGACCGGTAGAGGCTAAACTTTTAGTTTCCCCCAATGTGACAGGTAAGAGGGGAAGACACTGGAAAAGAGAGGAGCAATAAAGGAGACAGACTGAGGGGGCTGGATGGATACAGGGGCCATGTGGACAGGTGGGAAGGAATGAGGAGTCACAAGGAGATGTATTGATGCTTAAAGGCTCCAGGAAGCAGTTCTGGAAATACCAGCTGTAACTTCTGACCTACAAGGAGCCACATTCACCCACAACCAGCTTCCCATACCAGGCCCTGCCCAAATGTAAAGACAATTAATCATAGAGCAGCTGGGCTGGCAGGAGGTCACATCTAGACCAACCCCCTTCTCAAGACAGCGTGAGCCATATCTGAACCAGGTCAGACGAGTACCTGGCTAAGATTACACAAAAGCCCTGTCACAAAACTACAAGGCCCGTTGCCTCCAAACACCAGGAACACCCAAAATTACCCCAAGTAGTCAAGAGAAAAGGGCTGGCAATATCCCTCCAGTGCAGGGGATGTTCATATACATTTAGGAGAGCCAGAACAACCCTGATAGGACAGAGAAGGACAGGATTTCCCAGCCCTGGACTCTACTCTTGGAGATGCCCCATTTCCCAGCACTCAAAAGGCAGCTGATGACCCAGGGAGATCGCCAGCACCAACACCATCTGCTTTTCCTGCTCAGAGTGAGGTCCCTGCACAGGGAGAAGTGGCAGGGCACTCTGTGTGTGCCCTGAGCCAAGGGCAGAGACATGGAGCAACAGGCACTGCCTATACCACATGGGCACACGCACATAGAGAAGCAACATATGCACACACATATATGCCCATCCATATCACTCCTACCTGGCTATGACAAGCCATGGCTGTGCAAACCTAGCCCAATCCCCTCAGAGCCACTGCGCCACGAATTGAGCTGCCCTCTTGGGCTCTGTGGTGTGGCGGACAGGGCTGGCCCGTGGACCCCAGCCGGCAGCGAGGGGAGGGGAGCTGCTCACCCCCGCGAGGCCTGGCACATCAGTGAGCCAGGTCCTGCTGCAGCTGCCCTGAGGGCTGCGCGGAGCGGGGTTGCTCCAGCCGCGCCTGATTGGACGAACTGGGGACGGGCTCCGCCCCTTGCCCCCATCACTTGGCTGGGGGAGCTGCAGCATGGCCCGCGCCCTGCTCACATGTGTGGTGGACAGAGGCAGGGGGTAAGTTCCCATATGGGGCAGACCCATTTCATTGCCAGACAGCAGCAGGGCCAGTCCTGAGCATGCCTGCAGAGACCAACCCAGGGGCGTCTGGGAGTAGCAGCAGGAGACCACAGCAGAACAAGAGGATGCTGATACGACTGGGCCCAGCTCCTGCCTCCAGCTGCCTGCACATACACAGGGCAGAATGGGGCTCCCCATCGTGCAGCACTCAAGGGCAGCTTTGCCACTGCCCACACCCTGCAGGTAGAAAGGGAAAGTCCTGCGAAAGCCTGAACTACTCCAGTAGGCCTCCAGACAACCAGGGGCTGGGGCTTTATGCAGCTGTGTAGGACTGTGCTCCAAATGGTCAACCATCCTGGGCCACTCAGGTTTTTCACAGGAGGCAAAATATTTAGGCATCCAGGAGTTGGTGTCCTCCCCAGTTCAGGATCTGTTCATGGCAGGATGTATCCCTGATGGACCTGGCCCTTCTCCTATCCCAGAGACCAGATGAGTGCACATCTACACGGTGTGATGCAGACGGACACACCAGATCCATGCTTGCAGCATCCCCCCGCACACGTGGACACCAGCGGGCAGAGACACCCAGCACACGTGCATGGGCAGAGATAAGCACAAAGCAGCCATGAAGGACCACCTGCCCTCTTAGGAAAGGAAGTATTTTTATGCTCTCTTTCCCCCCACCTTTTCCCTCATTTGCCCTGTTCAAATGATAGCCAGTTTCCCAGACATGAAGCAAATTCACAGCTTTTAACCCTCACACACTGGGATTCCTTGCATCTGCAAAAAAAATGGATCCAATTTGATTAGATTTTTGTATTCTGGTTATCACCCCCTCAGCTCCTGTGTGTCCCAGCTGCCAGCGGAGGGTTCAGGATTGAGAGTGTGGTTGAGGGTAGAAAGGTACGAAAGGTTTGTTGACTTAACAAAAACACAACTACGCATAGTACGTTAAGACAAATAATGACAGACGATAATAATTTGCATCGGCAACTTATCGGCAGTCCCTTCTGATGCCTGATGTACGAGAAGTTTCTCTTTCCACAAAGCTCAGCCAAGTCAGGCATCTCTGATCAGCGCTGTCCGAGAGGTACTGGGCAGGGCCCTGGTATTCAGTCCCTGGGCTCCTTGAGATCCACGGGCCCACTGATCCAGGTCAATAACTAATTAGTCCCTCTATCTTCCTAATGAATGATTTCTGGGTGTGCCAGCCAATTTATAACTTCTGAGCTGTGCTGATAAGTTACAGCCATTCAGATTCTTTTTACTTCAACTGTCCTTAGACGGACCAATAGCAGTACAGGCCTTGCATTCCTTTGATAAGGTTAATTTAAACGATACCACAGGGCCTTACTACTTCAAGGCTTTGGTAAATTTACCTGGCCTTACTTTATACACGGCCTTACTCCATCATAAACTTTAATTAGGCTCTTAGCAACAAGATACAGCTTAATACCTAAACAAATGACAGAAAAAACACTTGGTCTAATCTTCATGGAGCGTTAGCCATAATTTTCAGCTGTCACACTATGAAACAAGTTGTCACTTTTAGCCTAGGTCAGGGATCATCTGAATAAAGTAAGGCACCCCAAGCTGTTGGGGCTCAGTCCGCTGATTGCGCATTGAAGTAGCATGGACCCATCCTTCACTGAGACACTGGATTTTTCCCCTGGCAGGACTCCTGGATATTTCCCCGGGAGAGAGGGGAAGTCCCACACAATGGGAGGTTTTGCCTTGATAAGATCCAGCCAGAGAAACAATGTGGAACTCCTCTAGGTCTTTATTTGCTGCCCAGGCTCCTGGTTTGTTGTACCATTTGCCTGGTACAGTAACAAAGCCGACTCCCCATTTCCAGGTTTCTCCATGGCTCTCAAAACCCCTGTAGTCAACAGCCAAACCTGCCTTGTGTGTGATCTGTGAAAGGCAGGTCAATAACTAATTAGTCCCTCTATCTTCCTAATGAATGATTTCTGGGTGTGCCAGCCAATTTATAACTTCTGAGCTGTGCTGATAAGTTACAGCCATTCAGATTCTTTTTACTTCAACTGTCCTTAGACGGACCAATAGCAGTACAGGCCTTGCATTCCTTTGATAAGGTTAATTTAAACCATACCACAGGGCCTTACCACTTCAAGGCTTTGGTAAATTTACCTGGCTTTCCTTTATACACGGCCTTACTACATCATAAACTTTAATTAGGCTCTTAGCAACAACATACAGCTTAATACCTAAACAAATGACAGAAAAAACACTTGGTCTAATCTTCATGGAGCGTTAGCCATAATTTTCAGCTGTCACACTATGAAACAAGTTGTCACTTTTAGCCTAGGTCAGGGATCATTTGAATAAAGTAAGGCACCCCAAGCTGTTGGGGCTCAGTCCGCTGATTGCGCATTGAAGTAGCATGGACCCATCCTTCACTGAGACACTGGATTTTTCCCCTGGCAGGACTCCTGGATATTTCCCCGGGAGAGAGGGGAAGTCCCACACAATGGGAGGTTTTGCCTTGATAAGATCCAGCCAGAGAAACAATGTGGAACTCCTCTAGGTCTTTATTTGCTGCCCAGGCTCCTGGTTTGTTGTACCATTTGCCTGGTACAGTAACAAAGCCGACTCCCCATTTCCAGGTTTCTCCATGGCTCTCAAAACCCCGTTAGTCAACAGCCAAAACTGCCTTGTGTGAGACCTGTGAAAACTTATAAAAGAAGTACATGCAAATGTTGTTCCCTAATTTCCTGCTTAACTCATGGAAGGTTCCTCCTTAAACACCAGCCCTGGCTCTGTGCACCTCAGTGTTGCCCCAGAGCTGCCACCTCCTGTCTGCTGGGGACACCGGGCATGAGCCACAATGACCATGACACCAGCACTGGCTTTGCTCATCCTTCTGGCAGCTCCACCAGGTAAGTGCCTCCTGTCCTGTGCAACAGGGGGATGCAGCGGCAGGATGAGAGTGAGACGGGTAGAAGATTGACCATTTGCTAATGATGTATTTTTCTCCGTTAGGTATCCTGGCCCAGGTCACGCTGAAGGAGTCTGGCCCAGGGGTCGTGAAGCCCGGAGAGACCCTCAGCCTGACCTGCACCGTGTCTGGATTTTCTCTCACTAGCTATCATATGCAGTGGGTTCGGCAGGCAGCAGGGAAAGGGCTGGAGTGTGTTGGAGGTATCTGGAGTGCTGGAGGCACTAACTATAACAGTGCTCTCCAAAGCCGCCTCAACATCAGCAGAGACACTTCCAGAAGCCAAGTGCACCTGCGCCTGACTGGGGTCCAACCTGGAGACACAGCCTGGTATTACTGTGCCAGAGACTCACACAGTGAATGAAAATGCATGAGAGCCTGCACAAAAACCAGCCCTGCAGGACCTGCCTGCCTGTGTGAGCACTGGAGGCAGCAGATGCCGGGCTCGTGCTCCGCTGCCTGCTGGGTGACGGGTTGGGGACATCAGGCCTTTTAGATCACTTGAACCAGCCAGGAACTAAATCCAGGGAAGGTTCAAAGGTGACCGCTGGGTCAGCAGCTGCTATTTAGAAAGGACCCAGGAGTCCCAGTTCATCGTGCCCCCTGCTCTGCTTGTCCTTGCAGGAATACAAAGCAAAGATTCCCTAGGATGGCACTCAGGACACAGACTGCTGTGCTGTTACAGGACTAGGGACACAGCTCTGTAGTCCTGATGTTGGTCCTGGACTTTAATTAGCACTCTCCAATTAACAGCTGAGCCCAGTCCAGGCCCCAACCTCCATTGCCCTGCTTGCCCCTCCTGCACTGCCCATATCCTGCTCCTGGTTGATTTGCCTGAGGCCAACCCCCATTACACCATCCCATCTGGGGAAGGGCTGGGAGCGGGGAGTCTCCCAGAGACAGCACCCAGAATCTTGCACACCCAGAAGGCAGAGCACTGCACGCTGACAATTAATTACTCCAGAACACGAACAGCACAGGGGACAGCCCCTCCACACGCCCACTGTGCTCTGATTTCAGGGCTGCAGCAAAAGCCACCAGCCCAGACACACAAAGGCAGCTGCTGGCTACCCACCACCCCCTGCAGCTGTATGGAGAAGAGCACAAGAGACCCACCACATCCCCAACACATGCCTGTGCCCACAAGAGAAATTCCAACAGAGAGTAGTTGGAAACCAGATTCAGTACATTGCAGTGATCAACTAGAAAGTGGAAAGAAATCCCCTTTCCCATTCCTTGTAGCTGTCATACATTGTCCCATCCAGCACCAAGAACAAGTGGCAGAAACACTCACCACCTGTGCTCAGAGAGTGTTCAACTGGGAGACACAAATGCCCAGACCAGAAGAAGGGCTCTTTGTGCTAGAAACTGTATCTAACATGTCTCTCAAGTCTGCTTTTGGCACTGTAGGAACCCCCCCCCCCCCCCCCCCCCGCCCCTCC